TTTTCTTCAGCTACGAGCAAGGATAGAGAGAGAGAGAGAGGGCGAGTTGGAAAACGTAATAAAAGCCGTCGGGCACGCGAATAATAGGTAGGCGCTTTCGGTTTTGTTGTCATTGAATCTTTCTTTGCATATTGGTTTTGCACAGTACTAGGCTTTTTATTTTTTGACTTATATTGCTTGTTTATTTTTTTCTCATTTGTCGTTTATATTAGGAATAAAAGTAGTTAGTTAATAATAACACTATTGATATTGTTTAATAAATGGTTAGAATTAAATTTCTAGTATATTTTTGTTTCAACTGTCTATCACGCCCATCATTTTATGCGAACTTTAAGTAATCCTTGGCTTGTTCGTCCCGCCTTTACTGTTGAAATAATATTAGTAATGTAATTTAGAATACCTTTTTCATTCTGTAATCAACCTAATGAATGAATTTTCGTGTCATTTTCAATATTTGAATGCACTAAATTGAGATTTTATCCTTTTCGTTCACCTTCATTAAAAGGCGTAATTGTTGATCCCAGGAGCAATGGTTCATGATAAATTCTAAGTAAATGTTTTTTCTCATCAATTTTTTCAACCTGGCAATTTGATGAGTTTAGATACTTTCTGTTGGTCTATTTACTCTCCTTTTCTAAATAGAAAGAGTTTGAATGTTTTCTCTCTTTCATTCATCCAGTTTGCTATTTTTGGGTGATTTTGATGTGAGGTATATATTTTAATGATGACTTGTCAATTTACTGGACAATTCTTTACAATGCTGCTTTTTGGGAAAAAAAAATACGAATTTGCAGTGTGTGAAGTTACCGTATTAGTAAGAATGTTAAATAAAGAGTACTTAATTTTTTTGAAGAATAAATAAATACACCTATTTATTTTAAAATGATTTATTTTCGTTTCTTTTCTAAGGTGAGACAAGATTTCCTTCATCTCCACGCGCTAACCCTCTCCAATGCGCCAATGGATGGGTAAATGGTAAAGAAGCAGCTCAATTTTAGGACTGATATAAATCATACATGAACAAAACAAGTAGTTTTGCTCTCGCATGGCTTACACAGGTCTCTGAAAATCCGTATCGCTCTCAAGTGTTGTCCTGGTATCGAAAGTGTTTGAAAGCCGCCTTCACCGTTGAATGGGAGAAAGACGAGGATGCGTTATACGTACTCGAAGAAACACGCCGCCTATTCTACCAAAATCGTCGAGTTCTAGAAATTGAGCGAATCGAGCGTAAGCTTCGCGAGGTAGAGATGCGATACGAATTAGCGTTGCATTACAAAATCCCTTACCCCCGTCCTTTTAACAAAACTCAAGGGTCGATGGCGGACAGTGGTGTCTCCTACGCCGCCTACCTGGACTCCTCCTATGATCACCCTGTGAGCCCGACAACGGGGTATATTCAGGAGGGTAGCGGGAATTACGGCGTCATGGGCGGTGGGGTGAGCCACATGGACGATTACTTCGAAGATGGGATCGGGGCGACCGATAAGGTGGGGCGTGGGGGGTGATAGCGCGTGACAGGCTCCCTCTAATGTTGACTCTGCGCATCAGATGGAGTTCAAAATTCTCAGCATTTTGCCTTCCTCTTCGAATACATCTTTGGAAATGAATGAGAAGTGATGTTTTTTTTATATTGTATATGGCTCAGTGCTACGTACACATGGAACAATGCTAGGCGATGTATGGTTAACACGGGTTCCGATGTATGGGTTGCATTGTGTTACTAGGCCTTGGCTTAGATCGACCCATGTGCGTATGTAGGACGGGGGCATACTGAAATAGGCTTAGGAATCATGAAAATCCAATAAACCCCATAAACATGCAAGCGGTTTTACTTTGTCGAATTCCATTCACATGTCTCCACTACTTTTCTTATCGAGCGACAGGTTTGCTATACTTTTAGCATTTTGTGCTTGCCTGTTGTGATTCCTATCCTCGTTATTTTCTTTTAAATCCTTTGTGTTTCATTCATGTTTACATTGAATATGGTTAATGCCTTTTTACCTTCACTCGCTTTTAATTATTCTGAGGTGATTATTAATTGTAATAGAATTTTTTCTTTATAATTTTTTACTCCTACTACGGGAAGAGCTATGCAAGTCTTCAGGGGCGTTCTTGGCATTTTACTATGTACACTTCTTTTCCATGTCATTCAAGTTGCGTCCATTTCTCAGGTGACCTTCGTTTCTGACGTCCACTACGACCCATTCTACGGCCAAAAGAATGCGTTTTCTCATTGTACCTCAGCTGCCAATGCAGCTTTAGGTGAGCCAGGTTGCGATAGCCCCAAGGCTTTGATGGACTCTATGGCGTCTGATATATCGCTTCAAAAAAGTGATTTTACACTATACGCTGGTGACTGGCAACGTCATAAGTTTGATGCAAAGCTAGTTGCTGATGTGCTCTTCGTCGATATGAACAAATCCTTTTCCAGCATTCTAACCCTCAATTTACCGCCTGTTAAGAGTTTCTCTGGTGCATGGGGAAACAACGATGTGGTTCCGGACTACTACTTTGACGTAACCAAAAAAGATCATGTGCATCTTAAGGAGCGTATTAAAATTTTAAATGGGTCACTGTATTCAAAGGAGGAGGCCGACACGATGGTTCAATGCGCATTTTTTTCCCGTCGTCTTGAGGAGGTTAGTTTTGTCAACCTTCACTCTCTTATATGGTCGACCACCCTGAAACCACCCCTCGCGGACAATGTGGACGATCCTTGCGGCCAATTTGCCTTTCTTGAAAAGGAGCTCGAATTTGCGAGAAAGAAGAGTAAGAAAGTGGTAATAATTGCTCATATTCCCCCGATTCTGGATACTTATATTGTGATCCGAAACGGTAAGTTTTCTAATGCGTCTCATGATATGCTTTGGAATGAGAGTTTTTATAAAAGGTATATAAACCTCATGTCCGCATTTCAAGATGTCGTTTCAGCTCAGCTTTTTGGGCACTTGCACCTGTTTTATTTACTGTGTTTCCCAGGTATTGGATCACCGGCTTTTGTGCTCCCAAGCATTTCTCCAATCTATGGAAACGTTCCCTCCTATCTGCTATCCACTTTTTCGAATTCATGGGACCTAATCGACCTCAACCAGCGCTCCCTGATCGATAGCGGCTGGAGAGACACAGTCAACGTCAAGGGTGCGCTTGGGCTCGTCGACGGTTTCGGCAACTTGAACAGCACGCGGGAGCAAATCAAAGGTCTTTACAAAAACGAAGTCATGTGGTTAAACCACTTAAAGCTTCACAACGGTGGCCAGGCCACAGACCAGGTGTTTTATCACATGAACACCAGCTCTTTTTCTCGCGCCGTGATCGTCTGCAGTATGCTAAGCGGTATCTATGATGACATCAAAAAATGTGTGGATGAGCTGGTCGCAAGCAAGGAACCTGTGATCAATGATTATCCAAAATTAATAACATTTCTTACAATATTTCTGCCGATTATTGGTGTGATTATTGTCGCGTGCCTCATTGCATTGATTGTTTGCATTGTTGTTAGAGGTCGTAAGATAAAAAATTTTAAAGAATTGGACTCTCATACTCTGACTGTCCATGTGCCTTCAGGCGAAATGCAACAAGAAGGTGAGAGTTGCAAGAATCCGAACAAGGAATTAAAGGTGCAAAGGGATACAAACACTAACCAAGGCCAACGTGATGAGAAAGTAGCATCTCTCAAAAAAAATTCTGACAAGCAACGACTAGATGGCCATACAGTTCAAGTACTTGTCGTTGAACCAAGCAATCAAATCGCTAAGGATGCGCGGGAGTAAGTATAAATCAAGTTACAGAGCAGATCATTATCTTCTCAGTGTCTAAATGTAGGGTAGGTCAAATGTTCATGAAAACTAAAACACACACGTCTAAATATCTGGATTTTCTATTCGTGTACATTTGATTATGACAAATGGGAAATCTGAAATCAGTTTGAAGATTATAGCTTACTCTAAATGTATTTTCATTAACTTTTTTCTTTTAATTCAATTTTGCTCAGTTTTCCTTTCGAGTTATATCTATACCAGTATTTTATTGACAATATATAGTAAAAGAGTTTCTTTTTTCTTCTCGTACAATTTTTTAACTTTAAATACTTAATTAAGTTATCAGAGCCATTTTTTTTGTTGATCTTTTCTAAAATCTAATTTCTTGGCACTGCATAAAATAATTTATTCGAGAGTGCAAAATCGTTACGTATACTAATATTTGTAAACTAAGGGTTAGCACATCTTAAATGAGCGTATCTTTTTGAAAGATAAAGATTTGTTGAGTCGTCAAGTGTTGCTTTTCAGCGGGTTATTCTAGAATACCAGTAATAAAGATTTAACATATACATTGCTGAGAGCGTTCGAGATATACACTCAGTATGGTAGTCTTCTCGCAGCAAGAAAGAAAGGCTAAGTCTTTTGTCTGAAAGAGACACTTTATGGTTAGCTTAAAAGGACCTTCTGGTGCTTCTTCTGCCATCATGTCATTCCTTATGCCCGACTTTTTCTCCTGTTACCCCTTTTTGGTGTTGCGTTTTTCTCCTTCCCCTCGTGTAGCTCATTTCATCAAGGAATCATGGTCCACTCCTACGGTCTCAAGAGCGGCACTCGCCACCTCTTTGCGAAGAAGTTCCGCAAGCATGGCATGCCCTCCGTCTCGACGATCCTCACGAATGTGAAGATCGGGGATTACGTTGACGTCGTCGCGGACTCCGCTGTTCGCGCGGGGATGCCGCATAAATACTACCACGGCCGCACGGGCATCGTCTGGAACGTCACCCCGCGTGGCGTGGGGGTGATTATCAACAAACCCGTCCGAACCCGCACCCTGCGCAAGCGCATCTGCGTTCGCTTCGAGCACATCCGCAAGTCGCGCTGCCAGGAGGCGTTCAAGCAGAAGGAGCGCGACTTCCAGGCCTTCCAGGCGGCGAAGAAGGCCGGCAAGGCGCTCCCGGAGCCGAAGAAGAGCAACCGCCTCGGCGGGATGGTGCGGCCGAAGAACGTGGAGGTGCTCGCCCGCTGCGCCTCCGACTACGACGCCTACATGCCCTACTAAAGGGGTTTGAGACCGCAAGATGATCGGTATCGACCAAGGTGAATCGACCTCACCCCATCGCACCGGGAAAAGAGGCGTGAAGGTTGGAGCTGGGAGATGACGTTTCCTTGTTTCATGAGAGTTTATTTTTAATTTAGTGTTATTTCACTCACCCAAAAAGGATCACTCGTGAAGACAGAATGGAAATGCTGTGCAGGCCCATTCTGACGTTCCATTAGGTTGAATGATGTTCATTACACATACACAAGTACATCTATCTATATCTTTTCCCTCGTTGATTTTATTTCTGGCTGAAGGTTTCTCTAAATATTAGGACTTTGACAAGATATACATAGTTACATTCGTAAGTTAAGCGCAGTCCAACAGACTATTTGCGAGATTTTTTTTTTCTTAGATGCTCAGTCCTTTTTCTTGCTCCTTTTAATGGCCAGATGACATAAATGAAGTCAAAAGGCAAACACACTTCTGCATTGTGAGATAATGCTCTGCCACTTATCAGCCTTTTCTTATCATCACTTTAATACCATTACACATTTTTTTCGTGGTGATTATGCACTAATTTCAGAAGTTTTTCTCCTAATTCCTTTAGACTATGTCATCATCACAGACAACAAATCTTGTGGAAAGGGGCATACATCGGATTGAAATGCGAATGCCCACAGTGTCCTTTTTACCAACAATTCCAAACGAGGTACAGTTACTTACCGTGTCTTTTAATCGTTCGACAGCAGCGACTATTTATATCTGAGAGTACTAGTTCTTACCTCACTGCTGCTTCATATTTTTGGTTCTTTACTGGAAGAAGGATTTTTCTTTACCCTTCTATTCTTCACCAGCTCCTCCTTGAATGTATATTGGTGCTATAGTTTTTTTTGATTTTCTTCTCATGTTTACGACGGACAGCCGCAAGGAAAGAAGTGGATATATGGGGTGATCTCATCTGGAAAGTGAGTATTTTCGCCAAAATATATTGGCTTGAGTGCTTCTTATTTTTTTTTCGGATAGGCTTTGTTTCCCTGTTCCTCGATATTTGTCTAAACACTAGGAATATAAAACACTATAAGCCACACATATATCGATATAAATTTAAACATTTATACAGATTGTGTATTTAGGAACAATTCCCTCAAATATATTAAACATCTCTATCGTATTTCTTTTATCTGTGTGTAGTTTGCACCTACCCTTCAAAGGTGATATTTTCGAATTTGAAAAATTCCAGAAGAGACTACCATTTCCACAACATCCGCCATGGCACGTGATCGGCATCCATTCGAGGCCGAAAAGCAACTGGGTGCGGTCAAGGCGGTCTCAGGGCCGGTCGTGATTGCCGAGAATATGAGCGGTAGCGCGATGTACGAGCTGGTGCAGGTCGGTTCGTTCCGTCTCGTAGGGGAGATCATCCGCTTAGAAGGCGACACCGCGACTATTCAGGTGTACGAAGAGACCGGCGGTTTAACGGTGGGGGATCCGGTCTATTGCACCGGCAAGCCGCTTTCGCTGGAGCTCGGTCCGGGGATCATGTCGGAAATCTTTGACGGCATCCAGCGCCCGCTCGAGACGATTTACCAGATGACGCAGGACATTTTCATCCCCAAAGGAGTCCAGGTGCCTTCCTTGGACCCCCATAAGGCGTGGGATTATACCCCCCGGGTGAAGGTGGGTGACCTCGTGACCGGGGGCGACATCCTCGGCTCCGTGGTGGAGAACTCCCTGATGAATCACCACGCGATTATGGTACCGCCAAACATGCAAGGCCGGGTGACCGCCGTGCAGCCTGCGGGAAACTACACCCTCCAGGATGAGGTCGTTGAGATCGAACACAACGGGAAACGACGAACCCTGCGGCTGATGCATCGCTGGCCGGTTCGAATGCCGAGGCCGGTTGCGTTTAAGGAATCCGGCAACCACCCCCTTCTGACGGGGCAGCGGGTGTTGGATGCGCTCTTCCCTTCCGTGCAGGGCGGGACCTGCTCCATCCCGGGCGCCTTTGGTTGCGGGAAGACCGTCATCAGCCAGGCCCTCTCCAAGTACTCCAACTCCGACTGCGTGATCTACGTCGGATGCGGCGAGCGCGGGAATGAGATGGCGGAGGTGCTCATGGATTTCCCCGAACTCACGACCGTCATCGACGGCCGTGAGGATTCCATTATGAAACGGACGTGTTTGGTGGCGAACACGTCGAACATGCCCGTGGCGGCGCGGGAGGCCTCCATCTACACCGGCATCACCCTCGCGGAGTACTACCGGGATATGGGGAAACACATCGCGATGATGGCGGACTCCACCTCCCGCTGGGCGGAGGCGTTGCGGGAGATCTCCGGGCGTCTTGCGGAGATGCCCGCGGATGGGGGGTACCCTGCCTACCTGGGAGCCCGCCTCGCCTCTTTCTACGAGCGGGCAGGGCTCGTGACGTGTATCGGGGGGCCGAAGCGGCAGGGTTCCGTTACGATCGTCGGCGCTGTATCCCCGCCCGGAGGGGATTTCTCGGACCCCGTCACCTCCGCGACGCTCGGCATCGTGCAGGTCTTCTGGGGTCTGGAGAAGCGCCTCGCGCAGCGGAAGCACTTCCCGTCGATCAACTGGCTTATTTCCTACTCGAAATACCTTAACGCGCTGGAGCCGTTTTTTAACACCTTCGACCCCGACTACATGCACCTCCGTGCAGTGATATCCGAGATTCTGCAGCGGGAGGAGGAGCTGCAGGAGATCGTCCAACTCGTGGGCCGGGACTCGCTATCGGAGTCGGATAAGGTTATTCTGGAGGTCTCCAAGATTATTCGAGAGGAGTTTCTCCAGCAGAACGCCTTCACCCCGTATGACAAGTTCTGTCCCCTCTACAAAACGTGCTGGATGCTGCGCAACATTGTCACCTTCTATGAAGAGGCCCAGCGTGTGATTTTGGAGTCGGCCGGGGACAATAAAATTACCTGGAATTACATTCGCGAGAAGATTCCAACCATCTACACGGGGCTCACCGAAATGAAGTTTAGGGATCCTGCTGACGGAGAGGCAAGTAATATCGAGTACTTTAAGAAGCAAAATAGAGACATTTTGAACGCTTTTGCTTCACTTTTGCAGTAGAGTTGCAATAGGGAAATTCGGAAAAGTTACAAAAAAGCTGAGATCAAAACAAAAGAGGGGTACGAAAATTGTTGACAAATAATATTCTCTTCCCTCAAATCTTCCTTTATATATATATATATATATATATATATATATATATATATATATGTGTGT